TGCTGCTAGTGCCGAGGTCAAGAAAATGTGCNTCTCTTCTCCACGTTGTTCAGACCTGCTTTGGGGCCCATCCAACATCCTATCCAACGTGTATCGGGGGCTCTTTCCCCGGGGGTAAAGAGGCCAGGGCGTGAGGCTGACCACTCACCTGCTGCTAGTGCCGAGGTCAAGAAAATGTGCATCTATACATTTACTTCCCCATACGCCTTCATGGCATAATGCTTAATTAGTTAAGCACAGGGACAACTTAATTTTACTTTACACAAATTTTCTACGTGCCTACATAAATATATCTCATAACTGCCAGGCACATAGCTACAGCTTGCTCATGCCAAAATTTCATAAAATTACACTAGTCAGAGATCAGAACTATCAAATCTACTACCACATATCACAGTGTACTGAAAATGTCTGCTCTGTAAATAATAAAGTACTGGATCAATTATACTGATGTTCATTTTAGCTTAAAAATGCATTAGTTTCACAACCTGTAGTTATAAAAATGTTGTAGCACACAAATCTGTCATGATAAATTTTCAAGACCCCTTGACACAATTTCAAGTGAAAATTATTTCAGAGTTAGAATGAAATACACACCAACAAGTGAAATATGACAAGAAACGAAATCACATTATAAGAACTAGCCAACTGATTGCATGATGATGAAATTAAGCGTAAGGGCATAAAATACTAAATATATGGGCACTTCTTTATCAAAGAGAGGGTAAATACAGGGTGGGGCGCAGAAACTTCCTTTCGGTGAAGACGCATTGTGAAGGGAGGGGAGGTCGTAGAAAAGTGGGGATAGGCTCGGCGAAGGCAGCAGTCGCAGAAGTTTCTGTCTAATACCCCTCAGTAGGAAACATGAGGTGGACGAGTGAGCAGCGTGCGTTTGTTGTCGAAGCCTATTTTTCAAACAACCATTCCTACATGGTGGTGCAGCGTGCATTCTGTACTCCAGAATTAAGCCCGGAGGTCCGGTTCGCGACCGGAAATCGATTGTTTTGTGGGTAGAGAACTTTAGGACAACCGGGAGTGTGGTGAAAAAATCATCAGGACAACAACTGACCGTTACGACGCCAGAAAATGTGGAGGCAGTTCGACAGTCGATTTTGAGATCTCCAAGACGCTCCACTCGCAAACATGCAGTCGCCCTAGACATATCCAATCGTTCAATGCGCCAAATTCTTCACGAACATCTTCATTTCCATCCCTATAAGATGGCTTTTGTGCAAGAATTGTCAACACGTGATTTCCAGAACTGAATAACGGCGTAAGAAATGTTATTGGAAACTTTACCCCCTGATGCACTTGTTTTCTTTAGTGATGAGGCACACTTTCACCTATCCGGATATGTCAACAAGCAGAATATGCACTATTGGAGTGGTAACAATCCCAGAGAGCTCCATGAGAGGACACTTCAGAGTGATAAGGTGACAGTATGGTGTGCGTTATTGAGAGTTGGAGTTATTGGTCCTTATTTTTTGAAGAAGACAATCATGCCGTTACTGTCAATTCACAGCGGTATGTGGACATTATTAAAAACTTTTTCGAACCAGCTCTTGAAGAAATGCATCTAGGAAATGTCTGGTTCTAACAGGATGGTGCCATGGCCCACACAGCCCGAGCTTCGATGACAGTTTTGAGGGCAAAGTTCCCCAGACGGCTCATCTCGCTTCGAGGTGACATCCCGTGGGCAGCGCACTCACCTGATCTAACACCCTGTGATTTTTTATGGGGATACCTCAAGGCAGAGGTTTTTAAACATTGCCCCACAAACCTGCTTCAGCTGAAGAAAGTTATTCGGCAGGAAGTAGCTCAAATTCCGGTGCACATGTTGGAACATGCAGAGGGGAATTTCAGAAAACGGTTGCATCAGTGCACAGAGAATGATGGCCACCACCTTCAAGATATTTTGTTTAAACCTACATGATTTAAAACTTTAAAGTATGTTCTTTCATTAGGCGAACATAAATTTTGTCTATTAGCTATAATTTTTCTTTTATTCGCCTTCACAAAAAGGAAGTTTCTGCGCCCCACCCTGTACTATCTGGACAAAAATTAAATCTGATCCACACAGCAGAACCTACAGATATTAACAGTAACACAATTTTTTATAAAACTGTACTTTCTTATACATGATAAATAGGACTTAATGTAATGATAAAAATAAATAATATAAATAAAAAATGAGATTCTGACAGAAATTCAAGTTACTGTGTACCTTGTGCTGTATATGGAAACTGTTAAGCCCACCCATACCTGGTTTAATGCATGTCTTCTAACACCTTGAGAATATCAATCAGAGTTTCAGAAATCATGTCCCACTAATAATAGTATTTTTATGTTTTATGGTCTGCCTCTAAAGAATCTTCATTTGGTGCATGTATGTTGTTTACAGCGAACACAGCATGTCAAGTTGGCATGTGCTGGCAGCATGTACCCCTGAAACATCAGCTGACTTTCGACAGGCTACATGGTGTTACATCCAAGAAGACAAAACTCTTAAAAACTACCAATGTGAGAACATCAAATCATACAACTAACATGAAACTTACAAACAATTATGTATTAAATCAAAAGTGACAGTTTTCACATTTATAATTTTATAGAAAATTACTCTTTAGTCTGGCAAAAATAATCAGTCATGCTATTAGGGATACCTATGAAGACTGTGAAGACCTCATGGGACCATGGGGTTATACAGCACACAGTACTATGGAAACCATGAAGACCCCCATCTAAACTACCGTGCTTTACTGATCACAGGGATATAGAACCCCTGACAACTTCTGCTGGCACCACAAGGCTCTGCTGAACACAGCATTACAGTATAAACACACACCTCTTGTGGAATCACAGAGTTCTACAAAATGTAATACAAAGATCTCTAGCCAACTACTGGGGTTCTACATAGCACCTGTGGTAACCTACTGTGGAACTATAGGGTTCTACTGAACACAGTAGCCTACTATAGAACCCATGAAGATTTCTAGTGAAATCATAAGGTTCTACAGAACATACTACTATAAAACCCATAGAGACGTCTCATGGAATCAAGGCCTTCTATAAAACACTGCACGAGAATCTCTGATGCAGAGATACCTATCATCTTGGACTTATGCAGTGTGTCTGTTATATCTCATGTGAGGAAATATTTATTTAATGTTACATTTAAAAATTAAATGTCTCACATCCCAGCCTGAAAAAATATCCAAATTTTTGACAAAACTGTCAAGGTACCAGATCATCACTTTCCCATTCTCTTGTAAGAGCACTATATTACATGATGATCTGGACTAAAGCAGCTTACTGAAGGGATGCAATTTTGTTATTAGGCAAACAATAGCACAGTTCCAATTTATACTTGTTTAAATAAATGAAAAAAGGTATAGTGCAACTGGCTGAAGTACTGTGCTACAAGCAGGTTCGATTACTGATAAGGTCACTGGATTTTTCAATTTACCTAATTCTTCTAGCCGCACTATGGCCCTAGGGTAGACTCAGCCTCCAACAGAAATGAGTACCAGGAATCTCAGGGGGGTAAAGAGTGCCTGGCGCATAAGGCTGACAAACTCACTGCCATCTTTGAGACAAACGTCTAGAAAACGTGGGAGCCTCAACATCTCACAACCCTGTGGGCCTCCATGGCCTGTTACAGGGACATCTTTACACTTTTTTTTTCCTTTGTCAATGAGGTCCAGTTATGCAATTCAAGTAATAGCTGAAATGATTCAGACTCACAGTGACACATTTACAATTATAAACTTCCTAGCTCCAGTATTGGCATTATGAACATACCTACTCCAACAATGATACATGGCTTCATACAGTCATACTGGAAGGACGCAAAACGGAATATGCAATCAATGATGATACATGCATATTCAAGGTCATGATTTGATACATAACAGAAAATGTTAAGACTTAAATCAAAACACAATCACCACCATCGCCCCAAACTTCAACAGCTGCCATAGCCCTCAAGAGATCATAATGATAATTAATTGCAGGTACTTCTAATTTCAAACATTTTCTGCACAGCAAGCCAGGAAGAGCTATCTTCTTAGGTAACTGATTCAGCACTTCTATTACCTTCATTAACTTATCAGCAGGGCATCATGTTATGATTATCACTGACAATGAACAACACTGTTCTTGCTGTTGCTTCTGGATGATATCTTTTCCCAAAACCACTAATTACTTACAGGTATCATATTCTTATGAAGTGAATAAAATGATTCACAGCATCTGATT